GGCTCAGCTCGACTAACAAAGCTCTGCCTCTTCCTCCACTCTGCCTCTCCACAGTGGAAGAAGAAAAGCAGAGCCTCAGAGCAGAAGAGCCTCCGGGTGAGTCTCAAAGCTGCAATAATTTGAATCTCCTCCTGAATGCCAGTCCCTTTCTAGAGGTCACCTCTACTCCCCAAGACTGCTTCCCCACCACACACCCCCGTGCACTGGAGGACTCTTCCTTGAACACTGAACAAGAACCAGCACCTTGGGCGTTTTAGAGCCACCTTGAAAGCGCCTGTGTATTCGGGTCGCACAAAAGCCAGATATTTCCCACAGTTATCGTTGCATCAAGGTCGCCTTGATAAACTCAACTGCAGATCTGAAACTCATAGCCAATAAGCCCAAGATGAATGCCAGCTCTGGAGTCACCAACAGGAGGAGTCCCAGAGGAAATCAAAAAGATACACAAACTTTTTTCCAAACTAACCAAAAAAAGCAGAGAAAGAACATGAAAATTAACAAAATCAGAAAAGAAAAGGAGAACATAACAACAGACACTGAGGAAATCCATACAATTTTCAGGTCATACTACATGGTATGTAAACTACATGGTATGTACTTCTAGGCTGGACTTGCCCTCTGGTGAGCTCGCCAACCCGAGACGGGACAGAGGAACACTGGCTGGCTCCCAAGTCGCAAAGGGTCACCTGTGAGGAAGTCTGGCAACCATGGGGGTCTTTTGGAGTGCCAGAAGGGCATGAGAACTGGCCATGCAGTGCATTTGGAAGGGGGGGAGGGTGCAGGTTGGTGGTGGAATGGGCGTGGCTGACAGACCCCTGAGTTGGAGATGGCCCGCCCACGTGAAGCAGCCTGGGAGGTTGATTGGGCTGTGGTGAGGGGGCGTGGCAGGGCCACCAGCTTAAAGCAAAGGTGAGCAGAACAGAGGCCAGGCAAGCAGACAGAGCCTCCTGAAGCGCACCCCAGCGCAGAAGCTCTGCCCTCTGCCCTTTCCTTCCTCACACCGCCACCAGCCGCCACCCTTCGCCCCTGCCCCTGCCCCTGCCCCTGCCCCTGCCCCTGCCTCCGCCGCCAGCCAGACGGTGGTCTAGCCCAGTCAAGCCTGCTGTTCTTTGGATGCCCGGTTGGATCCTTGGGTCGTAGCCAGTGCAGATGGAGGAGGCCCCCAGCCGCCTAGAAGCCCTGCAGAAGCTGCGGGAGCGCCTGTGCACCGAGACAGAGCCCAGCAAGCTCTACAGCACCCTGAAGAAACTCTCTCGCCTGCCCGTGCTGGGCGACACCCTGGAGGAGATTGGCTTCAGGAAGACCATCAAAGTGTTGAAGAAACAGCAGCTCCTGCTACCCTTTGCCAAGGACTTAGCGGCCCAGTGGTCAGAGGGGTCCCACTTTGGGCCCCGGCCTGAACCCAGACCCCAGGACTTTGCCTCCCAGAGCAGCGCGACGACAGAGCCTCGCAGAGACTCCCCAGAGGCGCTTGAGCCTGCTTCCCGGCCACAGGGAGGAGGTGGCAGAGAGGTCTTGGAGGTCAGCGGTAGCAGCCCGCAGCGAAGCGCACCTCGCAGCCCAAGCTCCGAGCCAGCGGGAAGAAAGAGGCCCAGAGGGTCCTTCGGGGGCAGGCAGCTAGCCGCGGAGAGCCAGGTACAGGTACGCGGAGGCAAGCCCCCACAGGGAGGTGTTGGGGCGCCCTGGCGGCTGCAAGGGGTGAAGGCCCTCTGCGGCAAGCCAGCGGCTGGGCCAGCGAAGCGGCGTCCGTCTCCCCCCGAGGGAAAAGACCCCTGGCCCCTGGATCCGGGAAGACCAGCAGGCCGCTTCTTTGCAGGCTCGCCTCGACTACCACAGCTCTGACAGCTCTCCGTCTTCCTCCGCGCCCGCGCCGCCGCCTCCGGGCAAGAGGAAGAGGAAAAGCAACTGGAAAGCTGAGGCGCAGAGCCCCGGAGCAGAGGTGCCTCGGGGCGAGTCTCACAGCTGCAGCGATCTGAATCTCCTCCTGGATGACGATCCCTTCCCAGAGCTCACCTCCGGTCTCCAAGCCTGCTTCTCCGGAGGAGAAGGACCTGAGGACTCTTCCTTGCACACTGACCGAGAAGCAGCACCTTGGGCGCGCAGGGCGACCTGGAAAACGCCTGTGTATTCGGGTCGCACACCAGCCAGAGCTCTCCCAAGGAAATCGCACCAAGGACGCTTTGCGAACCCCGACCGCACGTGGGAAACTCACAGCCAACCGGCCCCGCAGGAATGCGGGCTCTGGAGACAGCAAGAGGACCAGTCCCGCACCTGCAAGCCAACTAACCCCCAGACTGAGACCCAGACACACCTCAGGCTGCAGCAGTCCAGCGAGCTGAGGCTGAAAGCCCTGACAGCCCGCATCCAAAGCTCACAAGCCAAGAAGCATCAAGACCGCCAAACCAAGCTGATCTCCTTCCACGCCCTGACCGCAGACCCAGGCCAGCATGCAGACTCCGCACCCAGACGGGAAGACTCCCCCGAAAACCTGAACTGCCTCAGCCAAGGCCCTGGCACTGACCTTGTGAAGAGGGCTCCGCGCCCCGCCCTGGGCGGCAGGGACCAGACCCGTGCTAAGAAAGCCGCCCCGCTCATGGCCAAGGCCCTCAAGGATTACAAGAATAGGTGGTCTCGGAAGTGATGCGACCTTCCTCTCTCTCCCTCAGCCCTGGCATCGCGGACTCCTTTGGGATTTGCCCCGTGAATGCGGCCAAACGACAACCGAGGGGTTTATGTAGGTTTTTTTTTTTTTTTTTTTTAATGTACTTATTTTGTTTGTTTGAACACCGATTTAGAAGAAGCGCGGGGTTTGGGGAAATCCTCCTGTTCAGATACGGGCATCTTCATCCTACTCATGTCTGCGTAGATATTTAGAAAGAGAGTTGAAGGGATACACAGATGCACTGGTGTACGTCGACGGGATAGAGAACGTTACAAAGAGACTGTAGACAGGTGATTGTACATACATAAAGGTAGTGTCGGACATAGACCGATAGTTACATAGATTTTTAAACACATTGCTGCATAAACAGTGGGAACAAAACTATTTGAACTTCAAATGTATTAAATATAAAATATGTGCTCGTACATGTTCGTTTGCATGGGTGTATTTGTGTTTAATAAAGTTGAAAACTACTGGAGGAGTGTAAAAAAAGATTCAAACAACTCAGATATTTCACTTCATAACACAAACGTGGAATTGTGAAAACCACACCTGGATCCCACTTCTGGAGAGGTACAGGATTCAAAGACACAGAGTGGAAGCAAGCAAAACGTGGAAACGAAAGCAGAGGTGTGGGTAATACTGGGGGAAAATTCTTTTGAGACTTACACGAAGTAAGGGAAAGGGAGTAAGATGTACTGGATCAGGAAAGAAAAAGGGTGTGCGTGTGGTGTGTGTGTGTGTGTGTGTGTGTGTGTGTGTGTGTGTGTGTGTGTGATGAAGTATAAGGAAAGAATCCTAATCAGGGTGGCATTGGCAAACACCTGTCATTTAGCACTAGGGAGAAGGAGGCTGGATGATCATTGTGAGTTCCAGGGCACCTGATGAACAGAGCAAGCTCCAGGTCAGGCTCCCAGGCTACAAAGAGAACCCCTGTCTCAAAAAACCTAATAAAGAAACATCAAAATCAATCAATAACTTAATGGATGTTAGAAAAATGTTTCAAGACACCCCGGGCAATCCAGCACATTAGGGAAAGATGACAGGCATTGTGAGAACCACCCTTTGATCCAAAATCTTGAGATGCCCCCGGATTCAAGGATGTGGTGTTCCTGACTGGAAAATCGGAGTGAAAAACAACTGGGGAAGGAATGGACTCTTCAATTCCCTTTTCTCTCTCTCTCTGTCTCTCTCGGTCTCTCTCTCTCTCACACACACACTGTTTCTCTCTCTCTCTCTCACTCTGTGTGTGTGTGTGTGTGATTGTTTCTGTACCTCTGTTTTTATGTGTTGGTTTGTGAGTTGTTTGTCCATAGGATCCTAAAGAGAGGGAGTCCGAGTAAGCGAGCGAGCGATAGAGAGATGAGAGAGAGGCAGAGAGAGAGAGAAAGAGAGAAAGAGAGCAGGAGAATGGGACACAGAGGGAAAAGAATTAGATTCAAACCAGAGAGAATCTAATCCGAGGATAATCTTGGAAATGAAGAATCAAGGTCAAGAAGCAAACCCAAATGAAAGTTCATGGCCCCGCAGGCTATTTGCATATGCGTCTGTGTGAGGGAACCCCTGGGTACTACTGGCTTGTATAAAGAGAAGGGAGGAGCTGCCTACCAGCTGATGGAGCAGGGATGCTCTGAGCTGCAAGCCCACCAAGGTGAAGCTCTTGACTTAAGGAAGCTCATTTAAGAAGCCTTGTGGTCCTGTATTAGGTGCACAAAAAGTGGAAGCAACAGGGATTTCAGCTCTTTCTTCTTCATGCATGGTGAGCAGGTAAACTACATGGTATGTACTTCTAGGCTGGACTTGCCCTCTGGTGAGCTCGCCAACGCGAGACTGGACAGAGGAACACTGGCGGCCTCCCAGGTCGCAAAGGGTCACCTGTGAGGAAGTCTGGCAACCATGGGGGTCTTTTCCAGTGCCAGAAGGGCGTGAGAACTGGCGGTGCGGTGCGTTTGGAAGGGGGGGGGGTGGAGGGTTGGTGGTGGAATGGGCGTGGCTGACAGACCCCGGAGTTGGAGATGGCCCGCCCAGGTGAAGCAGCCTGGGAGGTTGATTGGGCTGTGGTGAGGGGGCGTGGCAGGGCCACCAGCTTAAAGCAAAGGTGAGCAGAACAGAGGCCAGGCAAGCAGACAGAGCCTCCTGAAGCGCACCCCAGCGCAGAAGCTCTGCCCTCTGCCCTTTCCTTCCTCACACCGCCACCAGCCGCCACCCTTCGCCCCTGCCCCTGCCCCTGCCCCTGCCCCTGCCCCTGCCTCCGCCGCCAGCCAGACGGTGGTCTAGCCCAGTCAAGCCTGCTGTTCTTTGGATGCCCGGTTGGATCCTTGGGTCGTAGCCAGTGCAGATGGAGGAGGCCCCCAGCCGCCTAGAAGCCCTGCAGAAGCTGCGGGAGCGCCTGTGCACCGAGACAGAGCCCAGCAAGCTCTACAGCACCCTGAAGAAACTCTCTCGCCTGCCCGTGCTGGGCGACACCCTGGAGGAGATTGGCTTCAGGAAGACCATCAAAGTGTTGAAGAAACAGCAGCTCCTGCTACCCTTTGCCAAGGACTTAGCGGCCCAGTGGTCAGAGGGGTCCCACTTTGGGCCCCGGCCTGAACCCAGACCCCAGGACTTTGCCTCCCAGAGCAGCGCGACGACAGAGCCTCGCAGAGACTCCCCAGAGGCGCTTGAGCCTGCTTCCCGGCCACAGGGAGGAGGTGGCAGAGAGGTCTTGGAGGTCAGCGGTAGCAGCCCGCAGCGAAGCGCACCTCGCAGCCCAAGCTCCGAGCCAGCGGGAAGAAAGAGGCCCAGAGGGTCCTTCGGGGGCAGGCAGCTAGCCGCGGAGAGCCAGGTACAGGTACGCGGAGGCAAGCCCCCACAGGGAGGTGTTGGGGGCGCCCTGGCGGCTGCAAGGGGTGAAGGCCCTCTGCGGCAAGCCAGCGGCTGGGCCAGCGAAGCGGCGTCCGTCTCCCCCGAGGGAAAAGACCCCTGGCCCCTGGATCCGGGAAGACCAGCAGGCCGCTTCTTTGCAGGCTCGCCTCGACTACCACAGCTCTGACAGCTCTCCGTCTTCCTCCGCGCCCGCGCCGCCGCCTCCGGGCAAGAGGAAGAGGAAAAGCAACTGGAAAGCTGAGGCGCAGAGCCCCGGAGCAGAGGTGCCTCGGGGCGAGTCTCACAGCTGCAGCGATCTGAATCTCCTCCTGGATGACGATCCCTTCCCAGAGCTCACCTCCGGTCTCCAAGCCTGCTTCTCCGGAGGAGAAGGACCTGAGGACTCTTCCTTGCACACTGACCGAGAAGCAGCACCTTGGGCGCGCAGGGCGACCTGGAAAACGCCTGTGTATTCGGGTCGCACACCAGCCAGAGCTCTCCCAAGGAAATCGCACCAAGGACGCTTTGCGAACCCCGACCGCACGTGGGAAACTCACAGCCAACCGGCCCCGCAGGAATGCGGGCTCTGGAGACAGCAAGAGGACCAGTCCCGCACCTGCAAGCCAACTAACCCCCAGACTGAGACCCAGACACACCTCAGGCTGCAGCAGTCCAGCGAGCTGAGGCTGAAAGCCCTGACAGCCCGCATCCAAAGCTCACAAGCCAAGAAGCATCAAGACCGCCAAACCAAGCTGATCTCCTTCCACGCCCTGACCGCAGACCCAGGCCAGCATGCAGACTCCGCACCCAGACGGGAAGACTCCCCCGAAAACCTGAACTGCCTCAGCCAAGGCCCTGGCACTGACCTTGTGAAGAGGGCTCCGCGCCCCGCCCTGGGCGGCAGGGACCAGACCCGTGCTAAGAAAGCCGCCCCGCTCATGGCCAAGGCCCTCAAGGATTACAAGAATAGGTGGTCTCGGAAGTGATGCGACCTTCCTCTCTCTCCCTCAGCCCTGGCATCGCGGACTCCTTTGGGATTTGCCCCGTGAATGCGGCCAAACGACAACCGAGGGGTTTATGTAGGTTTTTTTTTTTTTTTTTAATGTACTTATTTTGTTTGTTTGAACACCGATTTAGAAGAAGCGCGGGGTTTGGGGAAATCCTCCTGTTCAGATACGGGCATCTTCATCCTACTCATGTCTGCGTAGATATTTAGAAAGAGAGTTGAAGGGATACACAGATGCACTGGTGTACGTCGACGGGATAGAGAACGTTACAAAGAGACTGTAGACAGGTGATTGTACATACATAAAGGTAGTGTCGGACATAGACCGATAGTTACATAGATTTTTAAACACATTGCTGCATAAACAGTGGGAACAAAACTATTTGAACTTCAAAGGTATTAAATATAAAATATGTGCTCGTACATGTTCGTTTGCATGGGTGTATTTGTGTTTAATAAAGTTGAAAACTACTGGAGGAGTGTAAAAAAAGATTCAAACAACTCAGATATTTCACTTCATAACACAAACGTGGAATTGTGAAAACCACACCTGGATCCCACTTCTGGAGAGGTACAGGATTCAAAGACACAGAGTGGAAGCAAGCAAAACGTGGAAACGAAAGCAGAGGTGTGGGTAATACTGGGGGAAAATTCTTTTGAGACTTACACGAAGTAAGGGAAAGGGAGTAAGATGTACTGGATCAGGAAAGAAAAAGGGTGTGCGTGTGGTGTGTGCGTGTGTGTGTGTGTGTGTGTGTGTGTGTGTGTGTGTGTGATGAAGTATAAGGAAAGAATCCTAATCAGGGTGGCATTGGCAAACACCTGTCATTTAGCACTAGGGAGAAGGAGGCTGGATGATCATTGTGAGTTCCAGGGCACCTGATGAACAGAGCAAGCTCCAGGTCAGGCTCCCAGGCTACAAAGAGAACCCCTGTCTCAAAAAACCTAATAAAGAAACACCAAAATTAATCAATAACTTAATGGATGTTAGAAAAATGTTTCAAGACACCCCGGGCAATCCAGCTCATTAGGGAAAGATGACAGGCATAGTGAGAACCACCCTTTGATCCAAAATCTTGAGAGGCCCCCGGATTCAAGGATGTGGAGTTCCTGACTGGAAAATCGGAGTGAAAAACAACTGGGGAAGGAATGGATGCTTCAATTCCCTCCTCTCTCTCTTTCTCTCTCTCTCTCTCACACACACACACTGTTTCTCTCTCTCTCTCTCTCTCTCTCTCTGTGTGTGTGTGTGTGTGTGTGTGTGATTGTTTCTGTACCTCTGTTTTTATGTGTTGGTTTGTGAGTTGTTTGTCCACAGGATCCTAAAGAGAGGGAGTCCGAGTAAGCGAGCGAGCGATAGAGAGATGAGAGAGAGGCAGAGAGAGAGAGAAAGAGAGAAAGAGAGCAGGAGAATGGGACACAGAGGGAAAAGAATTAGATTCAAACCAGAGAGAATCTAATCCGAGGATAATCTTGGAAATGAAGAATCAAGGTCAAGAAGCAAACCCAAATGAAAGTTCATGGCCCCGCAGGCTATTTGCATATGCGTCTGTGTGAGGGAACCCCTGGGTACTACTGGCTTGTATAAAGAGAAGGGAGGAGCTGCCTACCAGCTGATGGAGCAGGGATGCTCTGAGCTGCAAGCCCACCAAGGTGAAGCTCTTGACTTAAGGAAGCTCATTTAAGAAGCCTTGTGGTCCTGTATTAGGTGCACAAAAAGTGGAAGCAACAGGGATTTCAGCTCTTTCTTCTTCATGCATGGTGAGCAGGTAAACTACATGGTATGTACTTCTAGGCTGGACTTGCCCTCTGGTGAGCTCGCCAACGCGAGACTGGACAGAGGAACACTGGCGGCCTCCCAGGTCGCAAAGGGTCACCTGTGAGGAAGTCTGGCAACCATGGGGGTCTTTTCCAGTGCCAGAAGGGCGTGAGAACTGGCGGTGCGGTGCGTTTGGAGGGGGGGGGGTGGAGGGTTGGTGGTGGAATGGGCGTGGCTGACAGACCCCGGAGTTGGAGATGGCCCGCCCAGGTGAAGCAGCCTGGGAGGTTGATTGGGCTGTGGTGAGGGGGCGTGGCAGGGCCACCAGCTTAAAGCAAAGGTGAGCAGAACAGAGGCCAGGCAAGCAGACAGAGCCTCCTGAAGCGCACCCCAGCGCAGAAGCTCTGCCCTCTGCCCTTTCCTTCCTCACACCGCCACCAGCCGCCACCCTTCGCCCCTGCCCCTGCCCCTGCCCCTGCCGCTGCCCCTGCCTCCGCCGCCAGCCAGACGGTGGTCTAGCCCAGTCAAGCCTGCTGTTCTTTGGATGCCCGGTTGGATCCTTGGGTCGTAGCCAGTGCAGATGGAGGAGGCCCCCAGCCGCCTAGAAGCCCTGCAGAAGCTGCGGGAGCGCCTGTGCACCGAGACAGAGCCCAGCAAGCTCTACAGCACCCTGAAGAAACTCTCTCGCCTGCCCGTGCTGGGCGACACCCTGGAGGAGATTGGCTTCAGGAAGACCATCAAAGTGTTGAAGAAACAGCAGCTCCTGCTACCCTTTGCCAAGGACTTAGCGGCCCAGTGGTCAGAGGGGTCCCACTTTGGGCCCCGGCCTGAACCCAGACCCCAGGACTTTGCCTCCCAGAGCAGCGCGACGACAGAGCCTCGCAGAGACTCCCCAGAGGCGCTTGAGCCTGCTTCCCGGCCACAGGGAGGAGGTGGCAGAGAGGTCTTGGAGGTCAGCGGTAGCAGCCCGCAGCGAAGCGCACCTCGCAGCCCAAGCTCCGAGCCAGCGGGAAGAAAGAGGCCCAGAGGGTCCTTCGGGGGCAGGCAGCTAGCCGCGGAGAGCCAGGTACAGGTACGCGGAGGCAAGCCCCCACAGGGAGGTGTTGGGGCGCCCTGGCGGCTGCAAGGGGTGAAGGCCCTCTGCGGCAAGCCAGCGGCTGGGCCAGCGAAGCGGCGTCCGTCTCCCCCGAGGGAAAAGACCCCTGGCCCCTGGATCCGGGAAGACCAGCAGGCCGCTTCTTTGCAGGCTCGCCTCGACTACCACAGCTCTGACAGCTCTCCGTCTTCCTCCGCGCCCGCGCCGCCGCCTCCGGGCAAGAGGAAGAGGAAAAGCAACTGGAAAGCTGAGGCGCAGAGCCCCGGAGCAGAGGTGCCTCGGGGCGAGTCTCACAGCTGCAGCGATCTGAATCTCCTCCTGGATGACGATCCCTTCCCAGAGCTCACCTCCGGTCTCCAAGCCTGCTTCTCCGGAGGAGAAGGACCTGAGGACTCTTCCTTGCACACTGACCGAGAAGCAGCACCTTGGGCGCGCAGGGCGACCTGGAAAACGCCTGTGTATTCGGGTCGCACACCAGCCAGAGCTCTCCCAAGGAAATCGCACCAAGGACGCTTTGCGAACCCCGACCGCACGTGGGAAACTCACAGCCAACCGGCCCCGCAGGAATGCGGGCTCTGGAGACAGCAAGAGGACCAGTCCCGCACCTGCAAGCCAACTAACCCCCAGACTGAGACCCAGACACACCTCAGGCTGCAGCAGTCCAGCGAGCTGAGGCTGAAAGCCCTGACAGCCCGCATCCAAAGCTCACAAGCCAAGAAGCATCAAGACCGCCAAACCAAGCTGATCTCCTTCCACGCCCTGACCGCAGACCCAGGCCAGCATGCAGACTCCGCACCCAGACGGGAAGACTCCCCCGAAAACCTGAACTGCCTCAGCCAAGGCCCTGGCACTGACCTTGTGAAGAGGGCTCCGCGCCCCGCCCTGGGCGGCAGGGACCAGACCCGTGCTAAGAAAGCCGCCCCGCTCATGGCCAAGGCCCTCAAGGATTACAAGAATAGGTGGTCTCGGAAGTGATGCGACCTTCCTCTCTCTCCCTCAGCCCTGGCATCGCGGACTCCTTTGGGATTTGCCCCGTGAATGCGGCCAAACGACAACCGAGGGGTTTATGTAGGTTTTTTTTTTTTTTTTTTTTAATGTACTTATTTTGTTTGTTTGAACACCGATTTAGAAGAAGCGCGGGGTTTGGGGGAAATCCTCCTGTTCAGATACGGGCATCTTCATCCTACTCATGTCTGCGTAGATATTTAGAAAGAGAGTTGAAGGGATACACAGATGCACTGGTGTACGTCGACGGGATAGAGAACGTTACAAAGAGACTGTAGACAGGTGATTGTACATACATAAAGGTAGTGTCGGACATAGACCGATAGTTACATAGATTTTTAAACACATTGCTGCATAAACAGTGGGAACAAAACTATTTGAACTTCAAAGGTATTAAATATAAAATATGTGCTCGTACATGTTCGTTTGCATGGGTGTATTTGTGTTTAATAAAGTTGAAAACTACTGGAGGAGTGTAAAAAAAGATTCAAACAACTCAGATATTTCACTTCATAACACAAACGTGGAATTGTGAAAACCACACCTGGATCCCACTTCTGGAGAGGTACAGGATTCAAAGACACAGAGAGGAAGCAAGCAAAACGTGGAAACGAAAGCAGAGGTGTGGGTAATACTGGGGGAAAATTCTTTTGAGACTTACACGAAGTAAGGGAAAGGGAGTAAGATGTACTGGATCAGGAAAGAAAAAGGGTGTGCGTGTGTGGTGTGTGCGGTGTGTGTGTGTGTGTGTGTGTGTGTGTGTGATGAAGTATAAGGAAAGAATCCTAATCAGGGTGGCATTGGCAAACACCTGTCATTTAGCACTAGGGAGAAGGAGGCTGGATGATCATTGTGAGTTCCAGGGCACCTGATGAACAGAGCAAGCTCCAGGTCAGGCTCCCAGGCTACAAAGAGAACCCCTGTCTCAAAAAACCTAATAAAGAAACATCAAAATCAATCAATAACTTAATGGATGTTAGAAAAATGTTTCAAGACACCCCGGGCAATCCAGCACATTAGGGAAAGATGACAGGCATTGTGAGAACCACCCTTTGATCCAAAATCTTGAGATGCCCCCGGATTCAAGGATGTGGTGTTCCTGACTGGAAAATCGGAGTGAAAAACAACTGGGGAAGGAATGGACTCTTCAATTCCCTTTTCTCTCTCTCTCTCTCTCTCTCTCGGTCTCTCTCTCTCTCTCACACACACTGTTTCTCTCTCTCTCTCTCACTCTGTGTGTGTGTGTGTGTGTGATTGTTTCTGTACCTCTGTTTTTATGTGTTGGTTTGTGAGTTGTTTGTCCACAGGATCCTAAAGAGAGGGAGTCCGAGTAAGCGAGCGAGCGATAGAGAGATGAGAGAGAGGCAGAGAGAGAGAGAAAGAGAGAAAGAGAGCAGGAGAATGGGACACAGAGGGAAAAGAATTAGATTCAAACCAGAGAGAATCTAATCCGAGGATAATCTTGGAAATGAAGAATCAAGGTCAAGAAGCAAACCCAAATGAAAGTTCATGGCCCCGCAGGCTATTTGCATATGCGTCTGTGTGAGGGAACCCCTGGGTACTACTGGCTTGTATAAAGAGAAGGGAGGAGCTGCCTACCAGCTGATGGAGCAGGGATGCTCTGAGCTGCAAGCCCACCAAGGTGAAGCTCTTGACTTAAGGAAGCTCATTTAAGAAGCCTTGTGGTCCTGTATTAGGTGCACAAAAAGTGGAAGCAACAGGGATTTCAGCTCTTTCTTCTTCATGCATGGTGAGCAGGTAAACTACATGGTATGTACTTCTAGGCTGGACTTGCCCTCTGGTGAGCTCGCCAACGCGAGACTGGACAGAGGAACACTGGCGGCCTCCCAGGTCGCAAAGGGTCACCTGTGAGGAAGTCTGGCAACCATGGGGGTCTTTTCCAGTGCCAGAAGGGCGTGAGAACTGGCGGTGCGGTGCGTTTGGAAGGGGGGGGTGGAGGGTTGGTGGTGGAATGGGCGTGGCTGACAGACCCCGGAGTTGGAGATGGCCCGCCCAGGTGAAGCAGCCTGGGAGGTTGATTGGGCTGTGGTGAGGGGGCGTGGCAGGGCCACCAGCTTAAAGCAAAGGTGAGCAGAACAGAGGCCAGGCAAGCAGACAGAGCCTCCTGAAGCGCACCCCAGCGCAGAAGCTCTGCCCTCTGCCCTTTCCTTCCTCACACCGCCACCAGCCGCCACCCTTCGCCCCTGCCCCTGCCCCTGCCTCCGCCGCCAGCCAGACGGTGGTCTAGCCCAGTCAAGCCTGCTGTTCTTTGGATGCCCGGTTGGATCCTTGGGTCGTAGCCAGTGCAGATGGAGGAGGCCCCCAGCCGCCTAGAAGCCCTGCAGAAGCTGCGGGAGCGCCTGTGCACCGAGACAGAGCCCAGCAAGCTCTACAGCACCCTGAAGAAACTCTCTCGCCTGCCCGTGCTGGGCGACACCCTGGAGGAGATTGGCTTCAGGAAGACCATCAAAGTGTTGAAGAAACAGCAGCTCCTGCTACCCTTTGCCAAGGACTTAGCGGCCCAGTGGTCAGAGGGGTCCCACTTTGGGCCCCGGCCTGAACCCAGACCCCAGGACTTTGCCTCCCAGAGCAGCGCGACGACAGAGCCTCGCAGAGACTCCCCAGAGGCGCTTGAGCCTGCTTCCCGGCCACAGGGAGGAGGTGGCAGAGAGGTCTTGGAGGTCAGCGGTAGCAGCCCGCAGCGAAGCGCACCTCGCAGCCCAAGCTCCGAGCCAGCGGGAAGAAAGAGGCCCAGAGGGTCCTTCGGGGGCAGGCAGCTAGCCGCGGAGAGCCAGGTACAGGTACGCGGAGGCAAGCCCCCACAGGGAGGTGTTGGGGCGCCCTGGCGGCTGCAAGGGGTGAAGGCCCTCCGTGGCAAGCCAGCGGCTGGGCCAGCGAAGCGGCGTCCGTCTCCCCCGAGGGAAAAGACCCCTGGGCCCTGGATCCGGGAAGACCAGCAGGCCGCTTCTTTGCAGGCTCGCCTCGACTACCACAGCTCTGACAGCTCTCCGTCTTCCTCCGCGCCCGCGCCGCCGCCTCCGGGCAAGAGGAAGAGGAAAAGCAACTGGAAAGCTGAGGCGCAGAGCCCCGGAGCAGAGGTGCCTCGGGGCGAGTCTCACAGCTGCAGCGATCTGAATCTCCTCCTGGATGACGATCCCTTCCCAGAGCTCACCTCCAGTCTCCAAGCCTGCTTCTCCGGAGGAGAAGGACCTGAGGACTCTTCCTTGCACACTGACCGAGAAGCAGCACCTTGGGCGCGCAGGGCGACCTGGAAAACGCCTGTGTATTCGGGTCGCACACCAGCCAGAGCTCTCCCAAGGAAATCGCACCAAGGACGCTTTGCGAACCCCGACCGCACGTGGGAAACTCACAGCCAACCGGCCCCGCAGGAATGCGGGCTCTGGAGACAGCAAGAGGACCAGTCCCGCACCTGCAAGCCAACTAACCCCCAGACTGAGACCCAGACACACCTCAGGCTGCAGCAGTCCAGCGAGCTGAGGCTGAAAGCCCTGACAGCTCGCATCCAAAGCTCACAAGCCAAGAAGCATCAAGACCGCCAAACCAAGCTGATCTCCTTCCACGCCCTGACCGCAGACCCAGGCCAGCATGCAGACTCCGCACCCAGACGGGAAGACTCCCCCGAAAACCTGAACTGCCTCAGCCAAGGCCCTGGCACTGACCTTGTGAAGAGGGCTCCGCGCCCCGCCCTGGGCGGCAGGGACCAGACCCGTGCTAAGAAAGCCGCCCCGCTCATGGCCAAGGCCCTCAAGGATTACAAGAATAGGTGGTCTCGGAAGTGATGCGACCTTCCTCTCTCTCCCTCAGCCCTGGCATCGCGGACTCCTTTGGGATTTGCCCCGTGAATGCGGCCAAACGACAACCGAGGGGTTTATGTAGGTTTTTTTTTTTTTTTTAATGTACTTATTTTGTTTGTTTGAACACCGATTTAGAAGAAGCGCGGGGTTTGGGGAAATCCTCCTGTTCAGATACGGGCATCTTCATCCTACTCATGTCTGCGTAGATATTTAGAAAGAGAGTTGAAGGGATACACAGATGCACTGGTGTACGTCGACGGGATAGAGAACGTTACAAAGAGACAGTAGACAGGTGATTGTACATACATAAAGGTAGTGTCGGACATAGACCGATAGTTACATAGATTTTTAAACACATTGCTGCATAAACAGTGGGAACAAAACTATTTGAACTTCAAAGGTATTAAATATAAAATATGTGCTCGTACATGTTCGTTTGCATGGGTGTATTTGTGTTTAATAAAGTTGAAAACTACTGGAGGAGTGTAAAAAAAGATTCAAACAACTCAGATATTTCACTTCATAACACAAACGTGGAATTGTGAAAACCACACCTGGATCCCACTTCTGGAGAGGTACAGGATTCAAAGACACAGAGTGGAAGCAAGCAAAACGTGGAAACGAAAGCAGAGGTGTGGGTAATACTGGGGGAAAATTCTTTTGAGACTTACACGAAGTAAGGGAAAGGGAGTAAGATGTACTGGATCAGGAAAGAAAAAGGGTGTGCGTGTGGTGTGTGCGTGTGTGTGTGTGTGTGTGTGTGTGTGTGTGTGTGATGAAGTATAAGGAAAGAATCCTAATCAGGGTGGCATTGGCAAACACCTGTCATTTAGCACTAGGGAGAAGGAGGCTGGATGATCATTGTGAGTTCCAGGGCACCTGATGAACAGAGCAAGCTCCAGGTCAGGCTCCCAGGCTACAAAGAGAACCCCTGTCTCAAAAAACCTAATAAAGAAACACCAAAATCAATCAATAACTTAATGGATGTTAGAAAAATGTTTCAAGACACCCCGGGCAATCCAGCTCATTAGGGAAAGATGACAGGCATAGTGAGAACCACCCTTTGATCCAAAATCTTGAGAGGTCCCCGGATTCAAGGATGTGGTGTTCCTGACTGGAAAATCGGAGTGAAAAACAACTGGGGAAGGAATGGACGCTTCAATTCCCTCCTCTCTCTCTCTCTCTCTCTCTCTCTCTCTCTCTCTCTCACACACACACACACACACTGTTTCTCTCTCTCTCTCTCTCTCTGTGTGTGTGTGTGTGTGTGTGTGTGATTGTTTCTGTACCTCTGTTTTTATGTGTTGGTTTCTGAGTTGTTTGTCCACAGCATCCTAAAGAGAGGAGTCCGAGTAAGCGAGCGAGCGAGAGTGAGATGAGAGAGAGGCAGAGAGAGAGAGAGAAAGAGAGGAAGAGAGCAGGAGAAGGGGACACAGAGGGAAAAGAATTAGATTCAAACCAGAGAGAATCTAATCCGAGGATAATCTTGGAAATGAAGAATCAAGGTCAAGAAGCAAACCCAAATGAAAGTTCATGGCCCCGCAGGCTATTTGCATATGCGTCTGTGTGAGGGAACCCCTGGGTACTACTGGCTTGTATAAAGAGAAGGGAGGAGCTGCCTACCAGCTGATGGAGCAGGGATGCTCTGAGCTGCAAGCCCACCAAGGTGAAGCTCTTGACTTAAGGAAGCTCATTTAAGAAGCCTTGTGGTCCTGTATTAGGTGCACAAAAAGTGGAAGCAACAGGGATTTCAGCTCTTTCTTCTTCATGCATGGTGAGCAGGTAAACTACATGGTATGTACTTCTAGGCTGGACTTGCCCTCTGGTGAGCTCGCCAACCCGAGAAGGGACAGAGGAACACTGGCGGGCTCCCAGGTCGCAAAGGGTCACCTGTGAGGAAGTCTGGCAACCATGGGGGTCTTTTCCAGTGCCAGAAGGGCGTGAGAACTGGCGGTGCGGTGCATTTGGAAGGGGGGGGTGGAGGGTTGGTGGTGGAATGGGCGTGGCTGACAGACCCCGGAGTTGGAGATGGCCCGCCCAGGTGAAGCAGCCTGGGAGGTTGATTGGGCTGTGGTGAGGGGGCGTGGCAGGGCCACCAGCTTAAAGCAAAGGTGAGCAGAACAGAGGCCAGGCAAGCAGACAGAGCCTCCTGAAGCGCACCCCAGCGCAGAAGCTCTGCCCTCTGCCCTTTCCTTCCTCACACCGCCACCAGCCGCCACCCTTCGCCCCTGCCCCTGCCCCTGCCTCCGCCGCCAGCCAGACGGTGGTCTAGCCCAGTCAAGCCTGCTGTTCTTTGGATGCCCGGTTGGATCCTTGGGTCGTAGCCAGTGCAGATGGAGGAGGCCCCCAGCCGCCTAGAAGCCCTGCAGAAGCTGCGGGAGCGCCTGTGCACCGAGACAGAGCCCAGCAAGCTCTACAGCACCCTGAAGAAACTCTCTCGCCTGCCCGTGCTGGGCGACACCCTGGAGGAGATTGGCTTCAGGAAGACCATCAAAGTGTTGAAGAAACAGCAGCTCCTGCTACCCTTTGCCAAGGACTTAGCGGCCCAGTGGTCAGAGGGGTCCCACTTTGGGCCCCGGCCTGAACCCAGACCCCAGGACTTTGCCTCCCAGAGCAGCGCGACGACAGAGCCTCGCAGAGACTCCCCAGAGGCGCTTGAGCCTGCTTCCCGGCCACAGGGAGGAGGTGGCAGAGAGGTCTTGGAGGTCAGCGGTAGCAGCCCGCAGCGAAGCGCACCTCGCAGCCCAAGCTCCGAGCCAGCGGGAAGAAAGAGGCCCAGAGGGTCCTTCGGGGGCAGGCAGCTAGCCGCGGAGAGCCAGGTACAGGTACGCGGAGGCAAGCCCCCACAGGGAGGTGTTGGGGGCGCCCTGGCGGCTGCAAGGGGTGAAGGCCCTCTGTGGCAAGCCAGCGGCTGGGCCAGCGAAGCGGCGTCCGTCTCCCCCGAGGGAAAAGACCCCTGGGCCCTGGATCCGGGAAGACCAGCAGGCCGCTTCTTTGCAGGCTCGCCTCGACTACCACAGCTCTGACAGCTCTCCGTCTTCCTCCGCGCCCGCGCCGCCGCCTCCGGGCAAGAGGAAGAGGAAAAGCAACTGGAAAGCTGAGGCGCAGAGCCCCGGAGCAGAGGTGCCTCGGGGCGAGTCTCACAGCTGCAGCGATCTGAATCTCCTCCTGGATGACGATCCCTTCCCAGAGCTCACCTCCGGTCTCCAAGCCTGCTTCTCCGGAGGAGAAGGACCTGAGGACTCTTCCTTGCACACTGACCGAGAAGCAGCACCTTGGGCGCGCAGGGCGACCTGGAAAACGCCTGTGTATTCGGGTAGCACACCAGCCAGAGCTCTCCCAAGGAAATCGCACCAAGGACGCTTTGCGAACCCCGACCGCACGTGGGAAACTCACAGCCAACCGGCCCCGCAGGAATGCGGGCTCTGGAGACAGCAAGAGGACCAGTCCCGCACCTGCAAGCCAACTAACCCCCAGACTGAGACCCAGACACACCTCAGGCTGCAGCAGTCCAGCGAGCTGAGGCTGAAAGCCCTGACAGCCCGCATCCAAAGCTCACAAGCCAAGAAGCATCAAGACCGCCAAACCAAGCTGATCTCCTTCCACGCCCTGACCGCAGACCCAGGCCAGCATGCAGACTCCGCACCCAGACGGGAAGACTCCCCCGAAAACCTGAACTGCCTCAGCCAAGGCCCTGGCACTGACCTTGTGAAGAGGGCTCCGCGCCCCGCCCTGGGCGGCAGGGACCAGACCCGTGCTAAGAAAGCCGCCCCGCTCATGGCCAAGGCCCTCAAGGATTACAAGAATAGGTGGTCTCGGAAGTGATGCGACCTTCCTCTCTCTCCCTCAGCCCTGGCATCGCGGACTCCTTTGGGATTTGCCCCGTGAATGCGGCCAAACGACAACCGAGGGGTTTATGTAGGTTTTTTTTTTTTTTTTTTAATGTACTTATTTTGTTTGTTTGAACACCGATTTAGAAGAAGCGCGGGGTTTGGGGAAATCCTCCTGTTCAGATACGGGCATCTTCATCCTACTCATGTCTGCGTAGATATTTAGAAAGAGAGTTGAAGGGATACACAGATGCACTGGTGTACGTCGACGGGATAGAGAACGTTACAAAGAGACTGTAGACAGGTGATTGTACATACATAAAGGTAGTGTCGGACATAGACCGATAGTTACATAGATTTTTAAACACATTGCTGCATAAACAGTGGGAACAAAACTATTTGAACTTCAAATGTATTAAATATAAAATATGTGCTCGTACATGTTCGTTTGCATGGGTGTATTTGTGTTTAATAAAGTTGAAAACTACTGGAGGAGTGTAAAAAAAGATTCAAACAACTCAGATATTTCACTTCATAACACAAACGTGGAATTGTGAAAACCACACCTGGATCCCACTTCTGGAGAGGTACAGGATTCAAAGACACAGAGAGGAAGCAAGCAAAACGTGGAAACGAAAGCAGAGGTGTGGGTAATACTGGGGGAAAATTCTTTTGAGACTTACACGAAGTAAGGGAAAGGGAGTAAGATGTACTGGATCAGGAAAGAAAAAGGGTGTGCGTGTGGTGTGTGCGGTGTGTGTGTGTGTGTGTGTGTGTGTGTGTGTGTGTGATGAAGTATAAGGAAAGAATCCTAATCAGGGTGGCATTGGCAAACACCTGTCATTTAGCACTAGGGAGAAGGAGGCTGGATGATCATTGTGAGTTCCAGGGCACCTGATGAACAGAGCAAGCTCCAGGTCAGGCTCCCAGGCTACAAAGAGAACCCCTGTCTCAAAAAACCTAATAAAGAAACATCAAAATCAATCAATAACTTAATGGATGTTAGAAAAATGTTTCAAGACACCCCGGGCAATCCAGCACATTAGGGAAAGATGACAGGCATTGTGAGAACCACCCTTTGATCCAAAATCTTGAGATGCCCCCGGATTCAAGGATGTGGTGTTCCTGACTGGAAAATCGGAGTGAAAAACAACTGGGGAAGGAATGGACTCTTCAATTCCCTTTTCTCTCTCTCTCTCTCTCTCTCGGTCTCTCTCTCTCTCTCACACACACTGTTTCTCTCTCTCTCTCTCACTCTGTGTGTGTGTGTGTGTGTGATTGTTTCTGTACCTCTGTTTTTATGTGTTGGTTTGTGAGTTGTTTGTCCACAGGATCCTAAAGAGAGGGAGTCCGAGTAAGCGAGCGAGCGATAGAGAGATGAGAGAGAGGCAGAGAGAGAGAGAAAGAGAGAAAGAGAGCAGGAGAATGGGACACAGAGGGAAAAGAATTAGATTCAAACCAGAGAGAATCTAATCCGAGGATAATCTTGGAAATGAAGAATCAAGGTCAAGAAGCAAACCCAAATGAAAGTTCATGGCCCCGCAGGCTATTTGCATATGCGTCTGTGTGAGGGAACCCCTGGGTACTACTGGCTTGTATAAAGAGAAGGGAGGAGCTGCCTACCAGCTGATGGAGCAGGGATGCTCTGAGCTGCAAGCCCACCAAGGTGAAGCTCTTGACTTAAGGAAGCTCATTTAAGAAGCCTTGTGGTCCTGTATTAGGTGCACAAAAAGTGGAAGCAACAGGGATTTCAGCTCTTTCTTCTTCATGCATGGTGAGCAGGTAAACTACATGGTATGTACTTCTAGGCTGGACTTGCCCTCTGGTGAGCTCGCCAACGCGAGACTGGACAGAGGAACACTGGCGGCCTCCCAGGTCGCAAAGGGTCACCTGTGAGGAAGTCTGGCAACCATGGGGGTCTTTTCCAGTGCCAGAAGGGCGTGAGAACTGGCGGTGCGGTGCGTTTGGAAGGGGGGGGGGTGGAGGGTTGGTGGTGGAATGGGCGTGGCTGACAGACCCCGGAGTTGGAGATGGCCCGCCCAGGTGAAGCAGCCTGGGAGGTTGATTGGGCTGTGGTGAGGGGGCGTGGCAGGGCCACCAGCTTAAAGCAAAGGTGAGCAGAACAGAGGCCAGGCAAGCAGACAGAGCCTCCTGAAGCGCACCCCAGCGCAGAAGCTCTGCCCTCTGCCCTTTCCTTCCTCACACCGCCACCAGCCGCCACCCTTCGCCCCTGCCCCTGCCCCTGCCCCTGCCCCTGCCCCTGCCTCCGCCGCCAGCCAGACGGTGGTCTAGCCCAGTCAAGCCTGCTGTTCTTTGGATGCCCGGTTGGATCCTTGGGTCGTAGCCAGTGCAGATGGAGGAGGCCCCCAGCCGCCTAGAAGCCCTGCAGAAGCTGCGGGAGCGCCTGTGCACCGAGACAGAGCCCAGCAAGCTCTACAGCACCCTGAAGAAACTCTCTCGCCTGCCCGTGCTGGGCGACACCCTGGAGGAGATTGGCTTCAGGAAGACCATCAAAGTGTTGAAGAAACAGCAGCTCCTGCTACCCTTTGCCAAGGACTTAGCGGCCCAGTGGTCAGAGGGGTCCCACTTTGGGCCCCGGCCTGAACCCAGACCCCAGGACTTTGCCTCCCAGAGCAGCGCGACGACAGAGCCTCGCAGAGACTCCCCAGAGGCGCTTGAGCCTGCTTCCCGGCCACAGGGAGGAGGTGGCAGAGAGGTCTTGGAGGTCAGCGGTAGCAGCCCGCAGCGAAGCGCACCTCGCAGCCCAAGCTCCGAGCCAGCGGGAAGAAAGAGGCCCAGAGGGTCCTTCGGGGGCAGGCAGCTAGCCGCGGAGAGCCAGGTACAGGTACGCGGAGGCAAGCCCCCACAGGGAGGTGTTGGGGCGCCCTGGCGGCTGCAAGGGGTGAAGGCCCTCTGCGGCAAGCCAGCGGCTGGGCCAGCGAAGCGGCGTCCGTCTCCCCCGAGGGAAAAGACCCCTGGCCCCTGGATCCGGGAAGACCAGCAGGCCGCTTCTTTGCAGGCTCGCCTCGACTACCACAGCTCTGACAGCTCTCCGTCTTCCTCCGCGCCCGCGCCGCCGCCTCCGGGCAAGAGGAAGAGGAAAAGCAACTGGAAAGCTGAGGCGCAGAGCCCCGGAGCAGAGGTGCCTCGGGGCGAGTCTCACAGCTGCAGCGATCTGAATCTCCTCCTGGATGACGATCCCTTCCCAGAGCTCACCTCCGGTCTCCAAGCCTGCTTCTCCGGAGGAGAAGGACCTGAGGACTCTTCCTTGCACACTGACCGAGAAGCAGCACCTTGGGCGCGCAGGGCGACCTGGAAAACGCCTGTGTATTCGGGTCGCACACCAGCCAGAGCTCTCCCAAGGAAATCGCACCAAGGACGCTTTGCGAACCCCGACCGCACGTGGGAAACTCACAGCCAACCGGCCCCGCAGGAATGCGGGCTCTGGAGACAGCAAGAGGACCAGTCCCGCACCTGCAAGCCAACTAACCCCCAGACTGAGACCCAGACACACCTCAGGCTGCAGCAGTCCAGCGAGCTGAGGCTGAAAGCCCTGACAGCCCGCATCCAAAGCTCACAAGCCAAGAAGCATCAAGACCGCCAAACCAAGCTGATCTCCTTCCACGCCCTGACCGCAGACCCAGGCCAGCATGCAGACTCCGCACCCAGACGGGAAGACTCCCCCGAAAACCTGAACTGCCTCAGCCAAGGCCCTGGCACTGACCTTGTGAAGAGGGCTCCGCGCCCCGCCCTGGGCGGCAGGGACCAGACCCGTGCTAAGAAAGCCGCCCCGCTCATGGCCAAGGCCCTCAAGGATTACAAGAATAGGTGGTCTCGGAAGTGATGCGACCTTCCTCTCTCTCCCTCAGCCCTGGCATCGCGGACTCCTTTGGGATTTGCCCCGTGAATGCGGCCAAACGACAACCGAGGGGTTTATGTAGGTTTTTTTTTTTTTTTTTAATGTACTTATTTTGTTTGTTTGAACACCGATTTAGAAGAAGCGCGGGGTTTGGGGAAATCCTCCTGTTCAGATACGGGCATCTTCATCCTACTCATGTCTGCGTAGATATTTAGAAAGAGAGTTGAAGGGATACACAGATGCACTGGTGTACGTCGACGGGATAGAGAACGTTACAAAGAGACTGTAGACAGGTGATTGTACATACATAAAGGTAGTGTCGGACATAGACCGATAGTTACATAGATTTTTAAACACATTGCTGCATAAACAGTGGGAACAAAACTATTTGAACTTCAAAGGTATTAAATATAAAATATGTGCTCGTACATGTTCGTTTGCATGGGTGTATTTGTGTTTAATAAAGTTGAAAACTACTGGAGGAGTGTAAAAAAAGATTCAAACAACTCAGATATTTCACTTCATAACACAAACGTGGAATTGTGAAAACCACACCTGGATCCCACTTCTGGAGAGGTACAGGATTCAAAGACACAGAGTGGAAGCAAGCAAAACGTGGAAACGAAAGCAGAGGTGTGGGTAATACTGGGGGAAAATTCTTTTGAGACTTACACGAAGTAAGGGAAAGGGAGTAAGATGTACTGGATCAGGAAAGAAAAAGGGTGTGCGTGTGGTGTGTGTGTGTGTGTGTGTGTGTGTGTGTGTGTGTGTGTGTGATGAAGTATAAGGAAAGAATCCTAATCAGGGTGGCATTGGCAAACACCTGTCATTTAGCACTAGGGAGAAGGAGGCTGGATGATCATTGTGAGTTCCAGGGCACCTGATGAACAGAGCAAGCTCCAGGTCAGGCTCCCAGGCTACAAAGAGAACCCCTGTCTCAAAAAACCTAATAAAGAAACACCAAAATTAATCAATAACTTAATGGATGTTAGAAAAATGTTTCAAGACACCCCGGGCAATCCAGCTCATTAGGGAAAGATGACAGGCATAGTGAGAACCACCCTTTGATCCAAAATCTTGAGAGGCCCCCGGATTCAAGGATGTGGTGTTCCTGACTGGAAAATCGGAGTGAAAAA